TTATGATAGCCTCCACTGTCCTTTCCTCTGCTGTATTTTGGAGTTTATTTGAGACAAAAAGGTTGGTTTTGTTGTTGTTGTTGTTGTTGTTTGTTTGTTTTTTGTGCAGCCACAAGCTCAGAGCCCCCATTTAGGAAAATTCCTAACATTTGGGCTGAATTTTGTCCTAATTTAATTTTCTACATATTCTAGTAACCTCTTCATTTGACACAAGATTAGGATATCAGAAACTTTTAGATAAAAAAAACCAAGGAGAGTATATTACAGTCTCTGTTACTGGATAGGCACAAGGAGGGGAAGTTGAGGCAAGAGCATTTCTTTTTGGGAAACTCCCTTCAGTTTGAAGAGCTAAGTATAGCCAGTAGCTTCAGCTTGAGTCCTTCCTTTGGAGATACCTGTAGAGGCACCGTGGACCTCCTGCACCACCTTGATCTCTTTCTTCTCTGCCAAAGCTTTTGTTTTCTTTCACTTTGTCCTTTGGTTTTTCCTTTTAGTTTTTTTTTTTAATTGGTTGATGAGCCTGTGCTGTGCTGCTCATGCTTTCCAAATTAGCTTTTTAAATCCCTAGCAGGGCCACCAGGGTAGAAGGAATATACCTTCTTCTTCCTCTCAGTCTGTCTTCTAAGGCTGTGTGAGGCTTTTCCAGAACATGACTTAAGTCCACCTTTCAGCTCACCATGAATTAGTTGAGTCATCATTTTGGAGCTTCCCTCCACCATGCCAACGGTGCATTCCGTCTGGGAGCCTCCATTTTAGGGACAGGTCCAGGCCAGTTTTGCTTTATTCAGTCCCTGGCTCTACTTCTGCTTCTCCACTGCCATGCCCCTGGGGTAGGTACATTTTTTCCCTCCTCCCCCCCTTTCCGCTCCCTTTTAAGTCATGTCTTCTTCCATTATAATGCAAGCTTCTTGAAGGCAGGGACAAAAGAACACTGCTTGATACATAGTAAATACTTAGTAATTGCTTGTTGCCTGCCTGGCATAATTTTGCTCTAACCAGGGATGGGGAACCTCCTTGGGTACAGCCTTTTGACTGAGTCCGAGTTTTACAGAACAAATCCTTTTATTAAGGAGATTTGTTCTGTGAAATTTGGATTCAGTCAAAGGGCTGCACTTGAGGATCTATCTTTCCAACCTTAGCTCTGTTTATTTTTTTTCAAGCAACTTTTGGTATAGTCAAACTAAACCACTTGCCTGCTCTTATACCTTCTTACCATCATAACTTTGCTCATTTTGATTCCCTTGCCCAAAATGTCCTTCCTTCTACCTCCTACCACCCCTGTTAAAATCTTGTAAGGCCCAAAGTGACTGTTATTTCTTCCTTAAAATGTTCCCAGATTTCTCTTTCCCTACCCCAATCTAGAAGTGGTCACTTCTTTCTTGGAATTTTCATGTCAAGTTCACCTAAGTCTTTTCTTTTCGTAGATTTATTAAGTATTAGAGTTAGAGTGGACCTTTAATCCTTTCATTTTCCTTAGAGTATTCTTGAGAAATGCCTTCAGATTTGGTGTATGCCTTTGATAATTGACCTAATAAATTAAATGAGTCACACAGTTATGGAGACTGTAGGGTCCTCTTGGTTTATAACAACCTTAAATCTGTTGGACATTGTTGGAATGTTACCTCCTCCTTAATGCTTAACTTGCTTAACTAGCATGTGAACTCCATGAGGAGAAATGCTGTATCTTATTTAAATTATGTCTGTAGTACTCTGGAAATAGTAGGTGCTAAATAAATATTTAAATTATTAAAGAAAAATGTTAATTTATTGCTTTGAGATAATATAAACACTTAGCAATTCAGCGGATGCTGGGAATGAGTTATAGTAAACTGAGAATTAATTCTTGTTACCTTAATTCCTCTTCTTACTGCTTCAAAGATCTGAAATGAATATATGGGAAAGCTATCCACTGACAAAAGGACTGATTTCCTCTTCTATCCATCTGATTACTCATTGTCTACCCTCTAGGACAAGAAAGTAGTGTTTAACCTAGAGAATGTTGTAAGATTATCTCTGCTTTGAATGATGATGTGTAAACCTGCCTATTAGGTGCTAGGTTGTCCTGAAGCCTCTAGCACAATAAAAGTATGGGTTCACAGGGTTTATAGATTTTAGATTTATATTGGATAATATAATAACTGCCAAATTTTTAGAGCTTTACAATTAATAGATTGTTGGGTAACTCAGCTTTTACTGTACTTAAGGAATTTTTCTATTGACTTCTCTAACCTGATAAGGGACAGACTATAAAATGTTAATGAAACTATTTAGAGATAGAGAAAATGGAAAAAGTTCAAATCTCTAGCCCTGGGGTTCATTGTTTTTCAAAATGTGCTGACATTTAAAAAATTTTGTTCTTCCATAGCTTCCCAGGGTGGGAAATTGGGGGTTGGGGATGGAAAGGGAGAAGTTAGGTCAGAGTACAGCCATGGTTGGTTTTACCCATAGGTGGAGTAGGTAATTCTTTACCCTTTTTATATGTGTTTATGTATGTGTTATTGAAAGAACTCCATGCCCCAGAATATCTCTCCCATTCTGCCTTAAACTGGAGATTCCTCGAGGTCAACTGAATGACTGCTGAGACCCAGAGTAATGATTAATGAATTAATATCAAATTAAAAGATATCTCTAGTGTACTGTCCACAGAATTCTTCCCCAAGAACAGTTATGTTTAGTATTTTTATAGTTACTTGGATGAAAGCATTGCTTTTTTTTTATTGGTATCGACTTAGAAATAAATTCCTTAATCTTATTGGTTTCGTCCTAATAACTAGTAGAGAGATAAAAACTAAGGAAAAGTATTTTGATGAGTCATCAGAGGTGATTCTAAAAAGCCAGTGCCATTATGTGGATTGGGAAAGCAGTCTGAGGTGTACTCGCCTGGGGGAACAGAGAATATTGGGTGTCCAGAAGTTAGGCAATTATTTTGTGGTTATTTAGTATATCTTTTGTATTTACTTAGATGTGTACAGGTTGTTTCCAGATAGAATGTAAGTCCCTTGGGGACAGAGACTTTCACTTTTTTTTCTTGAAGCTCTAGTATGTATTTAGTGCCCAGCACAAAATAGGCACTTAATATATGATTGTTGATTGATGGGAGAGGAATTAGATAGTGAGAAAATTTTAGAAATGATCTGGACCTTAAAGACTAATTTAACCTCTTCATTTTACAGATTAGGAAGGTGAAACCTAATTCAGCACGTATTTATTAAGTGGATAGAGAGCCGGTCCTGGTGTCCGGAGGACCTGAGTTCAAATCTGGCCTCGGACACTTACTGGCTGGGTGACCCTGTTTGCCTCAGTTTCCTCATCAGTAAAATAAACTGGAGAAGGAAATGGCAAGCAACTCCAGTATCTGCCAAGAAAGCCCCAAATGGGGTAACGAGAATTTGGACATGGCTAACTGACAAAATAATAACAATGTACAAGGCACTCTGCTAGGTGCTAGTGGACACAGACACAAGATAGCGATCCCTGCTCTTAAGACTCTTACAGTCTAGTTGGCATGATGAAATGTATGTGTGATTATAATGTAGATCAAAATATTGTAAATACTTAGGAGACATAAAATGTAGTGAGAGATTCAACAAAGGAGAAATTTCTAGAGCTACAATCAAGGAAAACCTTAGGGAGCACTTAGTAACTTGCTGGTTCATGAGGGAATGGATAGGATTTTATTTCATTAATTTTTTTTTTAAATTTTGATGTTTCTGTTTTTACATTAGTCATTCCTGGCTCTATACTTCTTTGACTAGTGAGTCTCCTCTTGTAACAAAGGAAAAATATATAGTTAAGAAAAACCAAGTGACAAGTCAGCTGTCTTAAAGTGTTTGTAGCATTCCATCCCATAGTTGTCCACCTTTCTAGTGAAAGGAAGTGCATTTCCTCATTTCTTCTCATGGCTAGGATTGGTTGTTATGATACCATAATATTCAGTTTCCTTTTATTGTTCTTTTTGCTTACATTGTTGTGGATGGACCTGTATTATTTTTTAACTTGTTCTGCTTATTTCACTTTGCATCATTTCATAGTTTTTCTTAGGTTTTGCTGAATTTTCTGGTTAATGTTTAATAGCCTTTTCCTGAATTCCTTTTATTCTTTGTTTCTTATAGCACAATGTTATACTGTAATTTATGCAGCCATTTCTCAATTGATCAATAAACTCCAGGTACCAGTGAAGAAACGGTATTCCACACCTCTATCACTCTGCTTCCTTCTTTCCATTCACCTCTCACAATATGTCCTATCCCATGTCTGCCCATCCTGATCGTTGTGCCCTCTGGAATGCATGCTCAATAGTTATCAAACTTTGCTTTAACTTGAACTTTTCTCATTTCCATTTTCTGGCACTATTTGAAATCTGCCTCCTCCTCCTCCACCCACATAATACTGCATCTACCCATGGTCACCTTCTCCATTAGGCTATACTTTGTTTCATACCCCCAACTCATTGGCCAGAGAGTTGAAATACGTTTTCTCCCATTGTCACTTCTATATTCTCCCTCTACCACCATCACTCAGCAAACCTTTCCTTCTTTGAGGTTCATAATATCTAAATTTATTAACAAATCTAAATCTTGACAGCTGTTATCTATGTTGAATTTCTTTTATTTCAGTCAGGGATAGTTATCTAAATAGGTTGTTAAACGTGTGTGTGTGTGTGTGTGTGTGTGTGTGTGTGTGTGTGTGTGTGTGGTAATCAGGGTTAAGTGATTTGCCCAGGGTCACACAGCTAGTAAGTGTCAAGTGTCTGGTCTGAGACCGGATTTGAACTCAAGGCCTCCTGACTGCAGGGCCAGTGCTTTATCCATTGCACCCACCTAGCTGCTCCAATAATCTTGTTCTTGAAAGATTATATCAGCTTTGTAACAGTTTGATTATTTACTTCTGGTATGACTCTTGAGAGGCTGTTTGTATTTTGTTGCTTTGGTGAGAGGGTACTTGCTTTTTTTTCCTTTCTAATTTATTATTTATTTTTTGCATGCTTTTTTTCTTTTTAGATTTTGAATTCCAGATTCTCTCTCTCCCTCCCACCCCATGAGAAGGTAAACAAAAATATCAGTTAATTATATATGTGAAATCATGTATAACGTATTTCTAAATTATCCAAATTTCAAAAAAAAATAAAAAAGATAAAGAAAACAAGAAAATTATACTTCAAAAACTTGTGTTCAGAGTTCATCAGTTCTCTCTCTGGAGGTGGATAGCATTTTTTCATCATGAGTCATTGATCAAAGAAGCCAAGTCTTTCACAGTTGATCATCATTACAACATTTCTGTTACTGTGCACAGTGATCTTTTGGTCCTTCTTACATCAGTTTGCATCCGTTCATATAGGTTTTGCCATCTTGGTACTTGCTTTTCAACAAAGTAAGTTTGAAGGATAAATAACTGTTGCCTTTGGTCTTATGAAAAATATAGTGGCAGATGTTGACTAAATGTCATTCAGTTAGTCAGTGGACATTAATAAGTGTCTGTTATGTACTAAGAGCTGGGGATACAAAAAGGCAAAAGACTGTCCTCAAAGAAGCTCGCAGTCAGATGAGGGAGACGGAAGCAAACATATGCAAACTGTGTACAGAATAAAAAGGAAATAACTGAAGGGGAGAAGGCACTAGAAATAAGAAGGGTTGAGAAAGGCTTCTGTAGAAGGTGGCATTTTAGGTGGGACTTCAAAAGAAGTTTCCCAAGCCAGGAAGCACGGATGAGGAAGGAGAACCTGGAGAGAAGAGAAGAGAATATGCTTGGAGCTTAGAGATGCAGTGTTGAGTTTGTGGAACAGCCAAGAGGCCAGATCAGTGTCACTGGATCACAGAGTATATGACAGGAGGGAGTAAGATGTAAGAACACAGGAAAAGTAAGAGGGGGCTAGGTTATGAAGTGCTTTGGTTTTTTCACAAAACTAGCTCTTAATTTTATTTATTAGTTCAATAGTTTTCTTAATTTCAGTTTTATTAATCTCCTTTGGTTTCCAGAATTTCTAATTTGGTATTTAATTGGGGATTTTCTTTTTCTTGCTTTTTTAGTTGCATATCCAATTCGTTGATTTCTTCTTTCTCTATTTTATTCATGTAAGCATTTAGAGATATAAAACTTTCCCTAAAGACTACTTTTGCTGCATCCCATAAGTTTTGGTATGTTGTCTCATTATTGTCATTCTCTTGGATGAAGTTATGGATTGTTTCTATTGTTTGTTGTTTGACCGACTCATTCTTTAGGACTAGATTATTTAGTTTCCAATTAATTTTTAGCCTATCTTTCCATGGTTCTTTATTACATGTATTTTTTGTTGCATCATGATCTGAAAAGGATGCATTTAATGTTTCTGCCTTTCTGCATTGGATTGTGAGGTTTTTGTGCTCTAGTACACGATCAGCTGTTGTGTGGGTGCCAAGCACTGCCAAGAAAAAGGTATGTTCCTTTCTGTCCCCACTCGGTTTTCTCCAGAGGCCAACCACATGTAACTTTTCTGAAACTCTATCGATTTCCTTAACTTCTTGTTTATTTAGTGTTTAGAGTTGTCTAGTTCTGAGAGGGGGAGGTTGAGATCCCCCACTAGTATAGTTTTGCTGTCTATTTCTTCTTGTATCTCACTTAACTTTTCCTTTAAGAAATTGGATGCTATACCGCTTGGTGTATCTGTGTTTAGTAATGATGTTACTTCATTGTCTATGGTAGCTTTTACCAAAAACAACAACATGTTATTAATAAGGGCACACTGTTTACATCCCTACAAGGGAAGGTGATACTTGTAACTCTTGAGAACTGTAATGTTTCTATGACATTTAAAAGGTGGTGTACTTATAGAAGTTGACTTTGATGTGATGGTAAAAAAATCTAATTAAGTGATGAAGAGGGATTGTACTGGGAGACGAAGAAAGTAGAAGGTAGACAAAGATAAATTACATTGCATGAAAAGGCGCAAACACTTAATACAGTAGAGGGAAAAAAGGGAGAGAGGTGAACATTGTTTGAACCTTTCTCTCATCAGATTTGGTTCAAAGAGAGAACAACGTAATCAGTTAGGTATAGAAACCTTACTTACCCTATAGGACGTAGGAGGGGAAAGGGAAAAGAAAAGAGAGGGAGTGAATAGAAAGGAGGATAGAGATAGAAAGGGTAAAAGGGAAGAAAAGGGAGGTGGCTAATTGAAGGAAGGGCAGACTGAAGGAGGGGGTGGTCAAAAGCAAAACTCTGCTGAAGAGAGAAAGGGAGAAAGGAGAGAGAAAAGCATAAATGGGTGTGGTGGAGAGGAGGGGAAATAGAATGGAGAGAAAGACACAGTGATGTCTGTGAATGTGAATGGGATGAACTCTCCCATAAAATGGAAATGGTTAGCATAGTGGATTAAGAACCATAATCCTACAATATATTGTTTACAAGAAACACATTTGAAGCAGTGGGATATACACAGAGTAAAGGTAAAAGGCTAGAGCAGAATATATTTTGCTTCAGCTAAAGTAAAAAAAAAAAGCAGGGGTAGCAATCCTGATCTCAGACAAAGCAAAAGCAAAAAATAGATATAATTAAAAGAGATAAGGAAGGAAACGGTGAAGTGCTTTGAAGCCCCATTGTTTTATATTTGATCTTGGAGATGATAAAGAGCCCCCAGAATTTATTGAATAGAGGGGAGTGACCTATACACCTGACTTTAGGAAATTGCTTTGATGGCTGAATGGATGATGGATTGAAGTGGGGAAAGGCTTGAGGCAGGTTGACCCACCAACAAGCTGTTATAGTAGTCCAGGTATGAGGTGAAGAGGGCCTGCACTAGAGGGCTCACAGTGTCAGAGAATAGAAGAAGGGGGCATATTCAAGCGATGTTGCAAAGGTGAGACTGACAGGCTGTGGCAACAGATTGGATGTAGGGAGGTGAGAGATAGTAAGGAGTCAAGGATGACACTTAAGTTTTGAGCCTGGGGACTGAGAAGATGCTGTTGCCCTTGACAGTAATAGGAAAGGTAGGAGGGGGGAGTGTTTAGGGGAAAAGATAATTGTTGAATTTAAGATGTTTACTTGACATCTAATTTGACATGTCTGAAAGGTAGTTGGAAATGTGAGATTGAAAGTCAGCAGAGGTATTGGGACAGGATAGGTAGATTTGAGAACCTTCAGCATAGAGATGCTAATTAAATCCATGGGAGCTGATGAGATCACCAAGTCAAGCCGAATAAGAGGGAGAAGAGAAAAGGACCCAGGACAGAACTGTGAGGTATACCAACAATTAGAGGGCATGGTCTGCAAGAGGATCCAGCAAAGGAGACAAAAGGAGTGGTGAGATAGGTAGGAGAAGAACCAGGGTAGAGTAGTGTCCTAAAAACCTAGAGAAAAGAGGGTATCAAGGAAGAGAGGATTATAAACAGTATAACGGCCACAGCAAGGTTGAAGAGAATGAAAATTGAGAAAAGGCCATTGAATTTGGCAATTAAGAGATCATTAGTAACTTTGGAGAGAGCAGTTTTGATTGAATGACAAGTTCAAAAGCTGGATTGTGAGGCATTTGTAGATGACTTTTTCAAGGAATTTAGCTGGGCAGAAGAGAGATCTAGAAGGATAGTTAGTGGGAATGGAAGGAAAAAGTGAAGGTTTTTTGAGGATGGGGGAGACATGAACATGTTTGTAGGCAGTAGGGACACAGCCAATAGACAAGGAGAGAATGACAATAAGTACCAGATTGAAAGGCAAAGTTTTAAAAACCTACGAGTTCCTTGAAGAAGAGTTAGCAAAGGTGTAAATGGAAATAAACTAGATGTGAAAGTCAGAGCACATGGGTTCCAGTCTTGACTGCTACTTACTGATTATGACCTTGGGCTAGTCACTTAACCTTTTCTCACTCTTGGTTTTCTCTTATGTAAAATGGACTAGATGATTTCAGAGGTCCTTTTTAACTTAACTCTGATTATAAAAGTATTTCTGTAGTCATGAAAAGAAGTGAATAATAAAATGTATAAAATATAGAGTTTAATCAATTAATAATGCTTTATGGAATAATTTGAATAGAAGAGAAAAATAAGGCAACACCACCTCCAGAGAACTCATTAGATCTTTAACTTGATAAACAAGCAAATAAAATAATTCATATAAGCATAATAGGCTTTTGAGCTAAAAGGAACTTTAGAGATCATCTAGTCCTGCCTGTCATTTTACAGATGAGGAAACTGGTGCCTAGAGAGATGAATCGACTTGCTCCAGCTTGTACAGATTGTAAGTAGCAAAGTCAGGTTTTAACTCTGAGCACTTCCTGCTATATACCATGTTCCAATTCTTTATACTTTCTGACAAGTAGCTAGGTACTAGTAGATACAAAATAAGTAGGGAAAATGAGTCATGGATACATTGAATGGGATTATTCTGATAATCAATATATGTCACCTTTTTAGGAAAACCATTTTCCTTGTTTTTCCCTCTGTCTGGAATATACTACCCTCAGCCCCAGTGTCCTTCTTAAACTGTGGTGCCCAGACCAGAACGCAGTTTTGCAGCTAACATGAGATGAAGGTAGAAGGCAATGGAACTACCCTCTCCCTATTCTTGGAAGCCCAGGCCTTTCTAAGATCACATTGCCTTTTTTTGGTTGCCACACGAAACTGCTTATTCGAATTGAACTTGCAGTCCACCACAGTTCCCACATCTTTCTCAGAACAATTGCTGTCTAATGATACCTCCTCCATCTTATACTTGTGAAGTTGGGCTTTTTTGTGTCCTCCTCAAAGATTTTACATTTATTTCTACTGAATTTCATTTTATTAGATTCAACTCAGTGTTCTAGCCTGTCAGAATCTATTTGCATCCTGACTGTCATGCCCTGTGTTACCTATCTTCCCAGCTTTTTACCATCTGCAAATTTGATGAGCATACCATGCATATCTTTAGCCAAGTGATTGATAAAAATGTTACAAACACTGGTTTTCCAGCCTAACATTTCCAGCTTTCTTTTAGATGTCTGTAACTGGATATCCCATAGTCATATCAAACTCAGCTCTCCAAAACTGAACTCATTTTCTTTCCCTCTTTGCTCATACCCTCTCCTTTTCTTAACTTCTCTGTTTCTGTCAAGGGTACCACTATCCTCTTAGTCACTCATGCTCACAACCGAGATATACTCATAATCAGTTATCAAATCCTCGTTTCTAACTTGGTAACATCTCTTGCATTTACCCCTCTTCTCCTTGGAAACTGTTACCTCTCTGGTACAGGTCTTCATCACTTCACACTTGGACTATTCTAATAGCCATCTGGTTGGTCTTCCTGGCTCAGGTCTCTCACCTCTCTAGTCCATCTGCTCAGATGTCATATGGATCTTGCTAAAGCACTGGTCTGACCATGCTAGAGAGTGTTCTCTCCCTCAAATTCCTTTTATTAAAAAATTTTATATTCATATGTATATATATGAAATGTGTGTGTGTGTATATATATATGTATATGAAATGTATGTATATATATATATGTGTGTGTATATATGTATATGTAAAAGTTGTACTCTGTTCCCACACTCAGAATTAAGGAACTTTTTTGTCTTTGTATCACCAACATCTACTATAACATGTTGCATGTAGTAGTTGCTGAGTAATATATTTGTTAAATGGAATTGAATTTCAAATGGTATGTTACTTTCAAATAGTTAACTTTCTTAAACGATATTAACACAAAATAAATAACTAGAGTTAGGAAAGGAGCTCATTAAGTTTCATATAGTAAAGCTGTGAAGCTGAAATACAACTTATCACAAGTTCTGTTGTGTTTTTTCTTTTGAGAGGGTGATGCTTTTAAAATAAAAGATAACTGATAGTGACTCAGTAGTCCCATCTACTAACCTTTTTGGTACTCTGGAATATGGTTTATTTGGGCCTGTTGACTTACTCATTGAGAGTAGCAAGATACTCTTACTATCTTTTAGTTGTGTAGAGCTTGATGATTTCCTTGCAGACAGTTTTTGTTCTCTTCCCCTCAAGATCATTCTCCTTGATAGAGAAAACAGAAGCAAAATATTAATTGAGTAGTTCTGTCAGCTCTGTCATCTGTATCATTCCATTTACTCCGTGCTTCCATTCCATCTGCAGTTTTCTCAACTCTAAGGTGGGCTTCATAATAGCACCTACCTTGCAGGGCTCTTGATAGGATCAAATGAGATAGAGTATTTGTAAAGTAGTGCCTGGCACATAGTAATTCTTAATAAATCACTCCTTTTCTCCCTCCCTGCTTGCCTCTCCAACACATTCATTTGGTTATAGGAAAATATATTTTTATTTGCCTTTGTTAATTTAATTCAACATTTTTAGGGCCTTCTGTATGCTTGCATTGTGCTAGGAACTATGGTATACAAAAACTAATATAAAAACAAGGACCATAATATTCTGCTGGGGAATTATTGCACAAGTATATAAATAAAAATACTAATTTTTTTATCCAGACTTGTGATTTCGTTAGTAATGGGAAGAACCTTCCTTGGCTAATCCAGACTAGTGTCTGCTCTGCAGCTTGCAATCTGAGAGCTGTCTCAGACCTTGCCACATTATGTGACTTGCCCAATGTCAGTAGAGCCAGTACAGGTTAGGGGCAACACATGAACCCAGATCTTCCAGACTCTGGAGCTAGCCCTACCCACTGTCATTCTGCCTCACACAAGTAATTTCAGGAGGGAGGGTGGGGGAGAGAGACAGAGAATAATGATGAATGAGTTAACATCTAAGGGGCTGGAGGGAGGATGCTGGTGGGAGATCAAGAAAGTCCTACAGTAGGAGATGACCCCTGCATTCCTAGCCAAGAATCCTTAATTTCTATATGTTTAAGTAATGCTCCAAAAACTAAAATCCTCATCACAGGCACTATCTTCTCAATTAGACATTTACATCCCAGAGCTGTCTTTTCTTCTTGAAGCCCTTTACCTTCAATTGGTAGCAGAGATAAGAACACCAGGATTGGTCCTAAAGTCTTTGATTTCTTGCCAAGGACTTTATAATCCCTGACAATTCTTTCTAGATGCCTTCTGGCATACCCTTTGTCTTCCCATGAATCAGTAGGAGTCAGGTCTTGGCTCTGTGCTTGGACAATTTGGGTAGGCCTTTTCACATTCTGAATGCTTTCCTTTGAAAGACAGCCCATCTCATGTTTGTTTCTGCCCTTTGCTATATGGAAGCACAGAGTGAGGGATCAGTTCCCGTCACTACTTGTATCTTATTTCTTGACTGAGAGGGGATTTCCTATCTCCTGACGGGCTTCTGTGAACTCTCACAAGAAACTTTCTTGTCAGAGGGTCCACCTCTCCCCTCTATATGAAGAACTTTGTGCTTATTACATAGGTATAAAGTTTAGTTTCATTTCTTCGCTTCCTTGAGTCAGATTTTTCCACCTGCCAGTTTATTAGGTTAAGATTTTCGTTGCTGTTTCAGTTTCTTCTATTCTTTGTTTTCCTTTTTCAATTATTTCACATACTCTTATCCTTTCCAGTAACCTGGAAAATAGATTAGAGTTTCTCAATCCTTACAACTCTTTTTCTAGTAGGGAAACCAGCCTGTAGTTTGCACAAAAAATAACCATTAGCCAATCGTTGACAAAAATACAAACTATTCTTTGCAGATCTATGCAGCAATCTTTGTGCCCCCAGAAAGTATTGTGATTCTGGGGGAAAAACAAATAAGCAAACATTTTTTCCCCCTTATCTCTGCCTCTTAAAATCTCTATCTTCCTTCCAAGCCTACTTAGGTGCTACCTCTCACAACTTTGTTCTGGTCCCTCTTGTCCTTACTGTTTTCTTCTGTTGAAGAAACTACTCTCATGTTGTTTATGCTTGTATATGTTATACTTGCATATGTGTTACATCCCCTAATAGAAGGTTTGCTCCTGCAGGTTTGTTTTTGTTTCATTCTTGTCTTTGTATCTCTGTCACATTACACTGTATCTTTGGTGTTGCAGGCACTTAAACAATTAATTTAATTGAATTAAAGGGAGTCTCTTCTGACTCTGGATCCTCAATTCTCCTTGTAACCATTTACTTTCCACCACTAATAGGATCTTATAATGGCTTCTCTTCTTCTGTTATATTAGGATGAAAATATTAAAGGAAATATCGAATTTGGCAAGAAAATGTTATAAACGAAGTACTTTATATTAGTGAAATTGCTTCTAGTTGTGTTTTAGCCCTGAGCAAGAGTGTTAGTCTGTGTTGCTGTTTTACAAATTTGATTTCTTCCAAATCCTTTTGGAACATTCCATAGTGTTTTCCTCACTTCTTTTGATCTGTGTTTGTAGGATATCCTGAATAATCTTGACTCATGTGACCTTGAAGATGATGATCTCATGCTTGATGTGGACCTGCCTGAGGACGCACCTCTCGAAAATGGTTAGTGGGGAAAGTGTTACTATTCAAGGAACTGTTTGAGGACCACTTTCCTAGAAACCTCATTAACATTCTATAACTCATAAAATATCTACATACTCTTTTCCCCATATTTTGAGATTTTTTTTAATGACTGTGCTATCATCTTGACTGTAGTAGAATGTTGATTTGAGGACCCCTGCCTCTTTTTTTGCTTATGGTTATGATTTCATGATAATAAAGAGTTCTCCAGGAGTGGAAGACCACTCTTTCCCCCAGATTCAGATATGTAGCTTCTGTTTACATAATTTTGAAAAGTTGTCTTGAGCATAAGAGATTTAGGGACTTCCATTATCATACCAACAAGGATGTATTAAAGGCAGGACTTGAACCCAGGTTTCTGCATTTCATGATCATCCCTCTGCCTACTGTTATGCTGCCTGTAATATTTTCCTTAATGATAGAAAAAAAAATCAGCATTTTACAGACACAATTTGGATTGCATTTGGACCACTGAAAGTTTGTTTTCTAATTTAGGCAACAAGGTGGCACAGTGGGTAGAGCACAGGACCTGGAGACAGGAAGACTTGAGTTCACCTCTGGCCTCAGACACTTACTAGTTGTATGACGCTGGGCACATCACTTAACCATTATCTGCCTTCATTTCCTTAACTGTAAAATGGGGTAGTAGTACCTGTTTCATGTTGAGAGGATCAAATGAGATAATATTTGCCCGAGAGTAGGTGCATAATGAATATTTATTCTCTTCTTTCCCTTCCACACACTTTAGAGACCACTGAGAAGGTGTGGTTCAGTTCTTTTTATTTGCAAATATGCTTACCTTCTATTTCAACCCATGATAACCCATGGTGTTCATATGGCAGTGATACTGAGCCCCAAACTGCAGAGAAGGTTGCCCCTTGCTATGAAGATATTTTTCTTAGCTTCTGTGGAAGAGAGAACTCTTTTAAATCTGAATATCTTGATGGTTAAGAGGAGTAGAATTCTATGTGGAATGGAAGGTAGTTGGGCTACCAGTGTAAGGACATAATATGGTTTTATTCCCTCTAGGCCCATTTAGGAATAGAGCCTGGGCAAGAACCTGGAGATGTTGATCCTTCTTGAGGTCTCACTAGAGATAAAGCCTAATTGGATCAGCCAGAGGGAAGGGTTGAGTCATATGAATAGCCTAGAAGGTTGGGTAGCTAGTGAGTAAATACTGTATTTGAGAAAGAGGTTAGAGGTCAGAAGCTTGTCCTCTGTTCAGATATAATGAACTATGGGGAGGCTGTGGTATCTGTCCAAAGGAGCAGACAGGATAGATATTTGGAGGCTAAAGAGAGAATCACCGTCTATCAGATATGAGGGAAGTTCAAAGGAATAGTGCATTAATTTGAAAGGAAATTTTATACTATTTAGCATGCTGGTTTGAAGTTTCAAGAAAATATAGAGAAATAGAGCACTGTGGACAGGGTACAGATTTCAAATTTAGCTCCTATTTTGTAATGAGAGACCACTCAGTTGGGCTCCCAGGGATGGAGTATTGTGTCACTCTGTGTTCTGTACTGAGGCATGCAGTTTGGATTGGGTTCAGTTCTGGGGAGGAAGGCTGCTTTTAATTAGGAGGGTTAGCCTGGTTAAGTTCCTCACATTGGTGCCTTGAGGAAAAGTTCATTTCATGGTTCTGTATGGTTCACTCCTCCTAGAGAAGGGGAGCAGTAAAGCTTCTCAAAGTATAATATGAATCAGGTTTGGGACAGGTAATTCCTACATAAGGAACTTACAATTGTGCCTTAACAGAATAGGAATTCAGTAAGACATTTGTTATGTTAAGACATAGTTGTTGATAGAATCTGCAGTACCTAAAACAATCTGTAGAGGCAGTGATCAGACATTTTAAGTTTGACCTTGGTTCTGGACCATCACTTTATCCAAAGCTGACCTCGGAGCTTCATGCTCGTCCCCTTCCCTAGTCAGTCACTCTCAACATGTCCTTGCTGCAGCCAAGCTCCTCAGATGAAATACTGCCGCCGCTGCACTCACAGACCGCTTCAGGTTGGCTAAACTCACAAGGTCACATTCCGGACACATCCAGTTTGTTGTTGTTTCTCAGTTACCTGCTTAGCAAAAGAGACACAAAGAGGCAGCCTGCACCAAGGCTTAGGCTTGCCTAGGTAAGGCCATGCGCTTTAGTGGCCATATGTTTGGAGCTTCATGGAGGTCAAGGTAAAGGAATAGGGCCAGTCACCCCCATCTTCCATGACTCTGCAGACATACCCCAAATAGTCTTACATACTACAGGAAAGAAAGAAAGATGCAGAAGCCCTCTTTATATATCCCTTTTGTGTACCCACTGAATCATCATCTCTTCTGCTTCAAGAGTCAGTTAGGAGACTTTTCATCTCCCAGTAAACCCTTCAGTGACAAATTGTATGTGGCCAGAAGCTGGTCCAAAAGCTCTTACCAGAACCAGGAAAGGCAGCTCTGAGCATTCTCTGTGGAATGGCCCCATAGCTCCATCCAGCCTAAGTTACACAGAAAACAAAAGGAAGGTTGTGAACGAATGGATGTCAGCAAATAGTGAGTTCAACTTTACTGTAGGACACAGAGGTGTTGTGGACATTCCCGTCATGTGACTTGCTGGGAAGCGCTTTGGAAACTGAAGGGAGCTCTGTCATTTTGCTTCTAGGAAGTGACCTTTGGTTTATGACACACGTATGCAAATTATACAGTTGAGACTGGAAAAAGCTAGGCAAATATCCATGATTACACCTATGTTTAGATTTGATCTTTACATTGTTTTGAATTTTATAATCTATTAAGACATTTTTTGTTCTGTAGCAAGTAAAAAAAATTACTTGTGAAAGCTACTTACATATTTTGGATCTATGATCTCTCTTCAGTTCTTGTACATTGTTGATTCATTATGTGTTTTACATTCAGCAAAACACCACTTCTCACTTAAAGGCAATAAGAATGCTACGATAGCATCATAGATTCTAAGAATCAGAAGAGACCTTTTAGGTCAATTAGTCCAATTTAACATGTGAAGGGATTCCCTCTATAACATGTCTGTCAAATCTAATCTTTTGAGTTATCTGTTATAATTAACAGTGGACTCACTATTTCACAGGATAGCCCATTTGCATGTTGAGATAGCTCTTATTGTTAGAAAGAACCCTTGTGTATTGTACTGAAGCCTGTCTTTCTTTGGTGTTCTATACAGTGGTATTAGTTCTGTCTATTGAAACTATACTGAATGTCTTATATACTTATACATGAGTCCTTCGTATATTTGAAGACAATTATCATATTCTGCCCTCGTGAGTCCTCTTGTGTTTTCTCTTCTACAGTTTAAGCATCCTTCATTCTTCAAACACAGTATGATTTCAAGATCTTTATTATGCCCATATCCTGATCAATTTCCCTTAGATATGCTCCAGTGATTTTTCTTAAAGTTCACTGGCCGCTAGGTGGCGCAGTGGATAGAGAGCACTGGACCTCTAGTCAGAAAGACTGTCTTGGGAAGAGTTCAGATGTGTCTGCAGACACTTAATAACTGTAATGCTGGGCAAGTCACCTAACCTCTGTCTGCCTCAGTTTCCTTATGTGTTAAATATGGATAATAATAGCACCTACCTCCTAGGGTTATTGTGAGGATAAAATAATATTTGAAAAGTGCTATGCAAACATTAAAGTGTTGTATGAATGCTAGTTAATGTCAATAATAATTAAAAATGGAATCTCTTTCATGCTTCTGAAGTCATATTTGCCTCCTTGCCTTAGGAACCTAGTTTGTTACCCATCTTTAGCATGTTTTTGTATAGAAATCTGAGCCCATGGTATTTATTATTGCCCTCTTTCTTTTTTTTTTTTCCCCCTTGTGAATGTCTGAGCATCTCCTGCTGTTTTTCCTTCCACATTATAGCTGCTTTCTAAGGTATTTTATGTAGTGGTAAATCCTTGAAGTTGGTATTAAATACTTGTTGAGCTGGTAGTTATATGTAGGCAGTTTTCTCCCTTTCACTTCCTTTCCGGTTTAAAGTTTTAGAGGCTTGCAAATTTCTAGGCAGACAATTTTTGTCAGACCTTATTGCATAGACACCATCCTTGCCAAGAGCCTCTCATTCCCATGTGTTAAGTTGGATTCTGAAAATCCAGATCCTGTTCTGAGAGGCTGTCTTCTTAATAAGCTCTTTCTTTCTTAGACTTTCTAACCTTAGAATCATACTTACCTTGTTTATGAGTTTTTTGAAATATACTTTACTGAAGTGTAAGATAGATAAACAAGCCTAACATTCCCTTCCTTCACTATTATGACTTCTAATTTGGCATAATAGGCTTCTCCTAAGGTTTTTGTCATTGTCACATCATCAACCAGTTATTCCTAATTGGTCCAAATTAAATTTAAGAGTGTCAGTTCTCATTATTGTTTTTCTCCCTGTTGCAAAAAATTTTCAACAAAAGAAGTCAAGAATTTTTCAGATGCTCTGTTTTTAGCAGAATGACATATAATAATGAAGACCTCATATTCTCTGAATTTCTTATCTTTATTAGGAAAGCATCATCCATATCCTTTCTCTAGCTGCATATTCTGCAGTATATTCCTGAAATAGTATCAATTTTGTTCTGAGGAATGTGGAGATTCTAAGATCTGGAGGAAAGGAAGCAGGGCATTCTAGACCGGGAAAATGGCGTTGAGCAAAAGCATGCAGTAAGAATTGCATGTTCTCACAGTTCTGCCAGGGAACAGCAAGTGGGCCACTTTCTCTGGAACATGGAGTGTATCAAGTGAAATAAGTAGAGAAAATGAGGTTGGAGTCAGATTGTAAAGGATTTTAAATGCCACTTAGAAAACTTTGTGTTTTATGCAAGAGGCAATAGAGAGTTGCTGTTTCTTGTACAGGGACGTGGCTTGATCATTCCTGTGCCTTTGACAGCTTTGTGTAGGATGGATTGGAGGGGATAGAGACTAGTGGCAAGGAGGCTGTTTGGCAAGCTTTTGCAATACCATGAACTCTCATCATGGTTTTGTAGATGAAGAGAAGGGGATTTAAAAGGATGTCATGGAGATAAAACTGGCAAGCTTGTGTAGAATTATGTAGAAAATGGTTGGTGAAGAAGAATGAAAATTGCAAATAACTCTGTAGATGCAAATCTACCTGATTAAAAGGAATGGGGAGCCTTCAGAAGAAACAGGGGAACTAGGAAGGGAGGAAATGGTTTAGGAAGAAAGACAGTGAGTTCTGTAGTAGGGATGTTGAGTTTGAGATGCCTGTGGGATAGCCACTGAAGATATATCTGACACTTGGTGAATTGTCTCAGGAGAGAGGGGAGGGCCGGATATATGTATTTGGGAGTTGTCTGGATGGACCACAGAAGCTGATGAGATCACCAAGAGAGTATGTGGAGTGAACAGGGCCTACATCAAAAACCTGAATTAGATCTACATATAGAGGTGACATAGGGATGCAAAGGTGGTATCAGATAGGTAGAAGAAGAAGCAGGAGAGACCTGGGTCATGAATACCCAGAAAGGCAAGAAGATAAAGACAGAAGATGATTGTCAACAGTGACACATGATGCAGAGAGTTGAAGAATGAGAACATAGAAAAAGCTATTGGATTTAGCAGTCAAGAAATCTTTGATAACTTTAGAGAAAGCAGTTTCAGTGAAGAGGTGGGGTTAAAAGCTAGAATGCGTGGAGGAAGAGTGACTGTGAGACAGAGAAGTCGAGCCAACCTTTTCCTAGGCTTCAGGCTACGAAAAGGAGAGTTCTAGAATGCTAATGGGAAAGAAAGGCAGAAGCCACTGATCAATAAGAGGCTAAAAATTTGGAGACATAGAGAGGTGAGGATCAAAGTGGCCACTCTTAGAGGGAAACAGAATGAAGATTCAGAGGAATGTCAGAGGGACAGTCAGGTAAGGGATTCTGGATAAGCCATGAGGTCACATGTGAGTGAGTATCAGTGCATGCCAAACCATAGCAGGGGACATGGATTGAGAGACCTAGGAATAATTTGAGGCTGTATGTCTTAGGAACGGCTTTGAGAAGTGAAAAATGCTTTTAATGTAAATGAGAGGATATAACAAAGGTAAAAGGGCTTTTGAGAGAGAGAAGGGAGTAAAATCCAATATTTTGACCAGACTATGTAGTTGAAGTGGTGTGTGAAAGGTCATTGGGATTGGAGAGTTAAGAGAACAAGTTGCTTGGATCATCATTGTGAGTGTCAAATTGTCTGTAAAAACGATGGGAGGGGGAAACAAAGAAGAAGGGAAACAATCATTTATTAAGCACTGACTGTGTGTCAGGCTGTAATGTTCTATCCACTATACCACCTAGTTGCCAGGGAAGGATAAAGAAAGGAACACTGTTAGTCAGGTATTAAGCAAACTTGAGGATGACTCATAGATTGGTAGTAATAAAGATGAGGATAATATAGTATAGAAAGAATGGATCTCACAAAAAAATGGAAGTAGAAAGTGAGGTGATACAGTGAATAAAGCATTGAACCTGGAGTCAGAAGATCTGAGTTCAAATCTAGCCTCAGATATTTATTAGCTCTGTGACCCTGGGCAAGTCACTTCACTTCTGCCTCAATATCCTCATCTATAAAATTGAATAATTCCAGAGTCATCATGATCAAATGAGATAATAATTGTAAAGCATTTCTCACAGTGCCTGGCACATAATAGGCACTGTATAAATGTTAGCTATTATTTTTATTATTGAAATGGTCAGAAAAAAGCAGTATAGAAGCATACCTTTCACCTCTCTTTGGCTCCAGGAGTACAGGTCAAATGGGAAGAGTAGATATCAATAGCCATATGACAAGAATACTCTGAATCACTAATAATTAGAGAAGTCCAAATTAAAACAAACCTGAGGTCTCAGACCAATAAGACTGGCAAAGTTGACAAAAAGGGATTATGACAAAAGTTGGAGGGGCTTTAGGAAAAAAGTCACATTAATGTTCTGTTGGTAAAGCTGTCAGTTTGTCTAGTCACTCTGGAAAGCAGTTTAGAACTAGGGCCAAAAGATTACTAAACTTTTGATCCTTTGTGTACCCTTTGACCCATCAATACCACTAGGCTTATACCACAAAGAGATCAAATAAAGAGGAAAAGGATGCATATGTATAAAAGTATTTATAATAGCTTTGTTGTAGTGACAACTGGAAAATAAGAGAGTGCTCATTTATTATTGGGGAATAGTTGAACAAATTATGGCATGTGAATAATGGGAATACTGTTGTGCTGCGAAAAGTGATGAAGGACAGTTTGGGGGAAACTTGGAAGACTTGTATGAATTGATGCAGAATAAAGTGAGTAGAACCAAGAAAACACTATATATACCATAACAACAATTGTAAAGACAAACAATTTAAAAAGATTTTGTTACTCTGGGCAGTACAGTGACGGACCACAGTTATGTCTTCTGTAGCATCCTGCCTACCTTTTGACTGGTGTTGGACTCAGGGTACAGAATAAGGTGTACATATATTTTTTGGACATTGCCAATGCAGGAATTCATTTTACTTGACTGTGTTTATTTGTTATAAGGATTTTTCCTCCTCTCTTTTCTAGTGGAGATAGAGAGAGAAAAATGTTTTTGCTAATTGAAAAAAAAATTAATTAAAAAGCCTACTGCATAACTCTAATGATTGTTTTTTATTCTTGTTTATTTTCGACTTTGTGATGGCCCTACACTTTTGTCATCCCTCATACCTAAGTGATTAAAAAATGTTCTCTGAAGTTCAATTTCCTTGGGGTTGTATTTTCCCTGTTAACTTGCTCATAGAATATTAGAGGTGGAAGAGACTTTAAAAAGCTCAACACAGCTACTGGGAAGAGTCAGTACTAGAAGTTCTGTCTACTGCTTCCTAACAGCCCCCCTCCTCCTTTATTTTATTTATTTTTTCACAGAACTTGTGCAGAAGTTAACTTTAGTCCAACACTTAGCCAAATGATCTCAAATTCAAGTTAGGAGAATCTAAATAATGAGTTTTTATTGTGCTTGAACACAGCATTTAATAGTTTCACTTATGTGAGTAACTTTGCAGGGAAATCCATTGTGTAAGGGTTCCTAATTTCAGGGATTTTCTTTCCCTCCAAAGGCTAACCTAAAAGGAATGTATTTTTAATGTCCTTTACTACCATTTTGTACTTATTTAAAAGACTGTTTTGATATACATCATTATTTTTTATGTATTTTGAACATTTTGGTCAGTGAGCTGAGTGTTTGCACTTTATCATTTTTACAGTTACTATAAAATACTTCCATTTGGGGGCAAGGTCTTCCTTTTTTGTTTACACTGGTGTCCTGATTTAACCACCCTTCAATTCTAGAAGTTGCTGTTCCAGCTCATTTAAGAAAGAGTTGATCCCAAGATCCCAGCGACCCCAAAGCCTTTGTTTGTGTCAGAAGTTTTGGCTTGTGGGTGAAGCCACTGCAATCACTCCCCTCCCGGAAGTGGAGAAACCTTTCTGTCTCTGCCTGGCCGGGACGGTAGTTAGCAGTATTTTTAGAAGCCGTCCTCACTCGACAACTATGTAAGCCCTGGGCGAAGATGGTAGTTTGGAGTCACAGGGTAAACTGGGCTCCTTTCCCAATGTGTGCTAGCTGGGAGCTAAGCAGGAAGGAAGGAAGGCCTGTTTATCAGGCTCGGCCATGCCACTATGGCTGAGTAGGCAGCAGAGCAGCACAATGTTGTCCTGGGACAAAGCAACTTTTTTACTGAGTGGCCAAATATGTGAGGAAAAAATTTTCGGGTAAGTGAAAGAGAAACTTGGGCAATTGTGTCGAGCCTGGTGGACGTTTGTGGGGCTGGGATTCCGGGGAGTGAGCTGTGCTGCTGGAGCCAAGTCCTGGCTTTGTCTCCAGTAGCTTTTTAGACTTGCCAGACAGTTTGCATTAGTAAGTTAACAGAGAGGCACAGGGAAGCAGTTTACTTTCTAAAAATGCGAGCTTGATTTTTTTTTTCAATTTTGGGATTTGTTGAGTGATCCAGGTGAGCCTACATCTGTTTCATTTTTAGGAAACTGGTTTGCTTCAGTATGGGCACCTGACATTTTTCTTTTCTCTCTTCTAATTTTTTACTCTGAAATCAGAAGGGCTCTAGCAATGATAATAGCAGTTTTTTGGGGGAAATTATTACTGGGATTTAAAGTGTATAACATTAATTATAATAAGAATAATTTTTGTTTAAAAGTCTTACAGAAATTAATTCAAAGTGCTAACCAGTTGTAAAATACAAGTTTTGTCTTCACTGAAACTTGCATTATTGTCATTTATATTTCCCTCAATGTGCCTGCTTTTTAAAATGTCATTTATCTCATACGTAGTAGAAAGTCTTGACATTTTTCCAAGAATTTTTCTATGGACTTTTTAGTTGCATGTGATCAACAAACTGTACAGTCTTTTCACTTTATGTAGTGTGTATAAATGTGAATGACAAATGTTGTGTTTTTGACTCTGTCTAGTGGAGTGTGAGAATATGAACCGCTTTGATGGATCAGACAGAAGTGTTCGACAGCATCAGGAAGGCTTTTGGAAAAGGCCGCCCCAGAGATGGAGTGGCCAGGAACACTACCGCCTGAGCCACAGTGACAGCTGTCATCAACATGGGAAAACGGACCTGAGCAGGTAGAAGCCTGTTGCTAGCTCACTTCCTTGTTAGTACACACAGAAATCCTGCACAGTGACTTTTTATTCCCCAGACTTGTGTGCCAGGTTTTCAGAGGCACACAAAACATTCTATTGTCAAAGCACCAGTGGTTGTTGATGGAAAACTAGGAGCAGGATATTTTTTCATCATGACTTCCCTCTTAGTACTTGTGGCTTAAAGCTTCTTTTCATTAGCTTCATCACAGATTTTATCCATAGCCAAAATGTAGACCTTAGGAATGCCCTAAAACAGGGTCTGTATTGATTTAATTTTTCATTTGTTAATGTTTATGGTTTTTCTTCCCTAAAAGATAAATTCCATGCATCTGTGATTTTGTCAGTGCTGGGTACTGATTGTAACCTCTTAAAACATAGTAGAGTTGCTGTGGCCAAACTAGTTAGAGCCAACTAGTTGCTTGTTAATAATAATAATAATAATTAGTAATTATTATAATAATAATAATTATATATAATATTATTGTATTGATACTTATTAATGATAATTAATAACAACAACAACAACTGACATCTATATAGCACTTAGTATGTGCTAGGGACTGTGTGAAGTGCTTTGTGATGATCATCTTGTTGATCCTCAAGATAACCCTGGGAGGTAGGTGCTATTTTTGCATTTCACAGACAAGGAAAATGAAGTAAAAGGAGGTTAAGTGACTTGCTTAGGGTCACACAGCTAGTAAGCCTCTGAGGCTGGACAGCTCTGAACATAGCTAGTTGGACCTTGGATAGTTCGTGACAGTAATATGAAGTGATTGTTACAGTCTGTGTTGTTTCTTACTGAGTTGGAATTTTTCAATAGACAGCTATAAATTAACTCTTTAACGGTATGAAGTGAAAGGTGATATTGTATAATGGGGAAAGCAAAAAAACTCTTGATAGGTAGAATCTTTCTGATCTGTTCTCATCATGATATAGCTTAATACTTTGATTTTAAAGTAGTTCAAATCACCTTTCTTTTTATTTAAAAGATAGGACCGCTTTTGATATGTCTCATTTAAAAACTGTAGCTGTCTGTGGAATTAGCGAGGATACAGTATAGGACATTTCTGTAGTGTACACAACAACTGAGCTTCACAGGTTTTCATAGAATTACGGTTGCAAGGGCCTTAGAATGTAGTCTAGAATATATGAATGAATGGCATATTGAAAAAAAAGCTAGCCTTGCAATCAGTCTCAGCAAGACCTGGGTTCAAGTCTTGCCTCTGAAACATACTGGTTATGTGACCCTAGGTAATGCCCTCTGACTTTCCCGGGCAACTGCCCTAGTCTGTAGAAGGAATTCTTCTCCAGTACCTGCACTGATGAAATCACAGGTAGTTCCAGTTTAACAGAAAAGATAGGGAGTCACTCAAGGCATAGTACATAGCAGGACACACTTGAGATGCTTTTAAGCGTTCTTAAAAATGTACACGTTTTCTGTGCCTGTAAGTTCCACTCTCCATGATATGCAGGCGTGCAATTTTTAGCTTCTCATGACAGTGTGGCACAGGTTGTAATGTGTCTGTGTGTGTACCCTCTTCAAAGGGGTACAGTTATCTTTGTGAAGGCCTTGCCTTAGAAGTCACATCCAGTTCAGCCTGAGCTCAGGAATCACTTCAACAGCATCCTTCACAGATGACCTGACAGCCTCTGCTTGAATACATTCAGTGACTGAGAACCAAATGACAATGGATGTTTATATAGTATTTTGAAGTTCTCTCAAGGCAGTTACTGTGGGTCAGGACCCACAGTTTAGGGAGCGCTGAAGGAGTTGTGAGTGGAGAAAGTTTTAAGAGGCTCTGCATTGGATAGTGTTCATTCGTCCATTGTTTTTTTTTCAAATGGCTTCATTTTTAGGCCCTTCAGCATCTAGGTAGCCCTGTTGTGGATACTGTTTAGTGATGACTCTTAAAGTTGTGACACCCAGCACTGGAGAGAATGCTCCAGATGTAATCTGATCACTATAGAGTGCAGTGTTAATTCAGCCCAAGACTGTGTTAGCTTTCCAAACCTATGTTACATAGTTAACCACTTCTTCTGCATGTACTCAGTATCAGAAATGTGGTTTTAAAAAAATAATTTTACTATCCATGTGCCCTGTCCCTTGCCTTCACAATTCCTTAACCTCTTTGACTCTCCTGAGTGTCCTCCTAACACGTCAGTCATCTGGCCACTAGCGTGGCACAACCTGGATACAGATGCGTCAGAGCAGAGCACTGCTTTGAAGTCAGCATGGAGCTGAGATTTCAGATGCTCGGCTTGTCCCAGGGGGAGCTGCTGGTGTCATGGATAGAGAGCCAGCTTTTGTGTCACCAAGACCTCAGTTCAAGGTTGGCCTCTGACACCTGTTGGCTTTGTGACCCTGGGCTAGTGCCACCTCAGTGCCCATAGGCAGCAGGCTCAGAGGAGAACCTTCAAAGGAGGTGCTGTTGTGCAGTGGTAGAGGGAGTTTCCTCACCGGGAGTTCCCTAGACTTATGAAATCACGTCTTGTCAGAAAATGTGACCAACTCTGCATGTATTATGTCCTCCAGTAAATTACAAGCGGGGGGGGGGGTGATGTCTCAATTACTTAGTTATAGTTTATTTCCTCTAGTGCCTAGCACAGTATTAAATGAAAAGAATTGGATTTGAGTCAAACGACCTCAGTTTGAACCCACTTTTGTGGAATTCTGGACAAGTCACTTAAATGCTCCCAGTTTCCTTCTCTATGAAGTGAGAGGGTAGACTTGGTTCTTCAAGGTCCCTTCCAGCTCCAGTTCTGAATTTTAGCTGTATTCCTGTTGACTGACTATTCCAAGTCTACTTAACTTTTCTCAAGTCTCTAGCCTTACTTTTGGTCCCGGTTTCACTCCTCCTCTCAACCCCCCCCCCATCTCCCCATTTTCTGGGCAGATCAATTCATATTTTATTGGGCAAATCAAGACTGTTAGGTGTGATTCTGCATCTTGGCTGTCTTCCCTTTTCCCCTTTCTCCTTGCTGTCTTAGAATACTCCCTTTCTTTACAGGAAACATTAATAGAAACAACTAAGCTTACTGGTAATTTTTACATTTAAATTAATTAATGTCAATAATTAAAGTAGTATAAGACTTTAAGTAGCTCTTTAAGTCCCCATCAGGATTCTTTGCCTATTCATTCTTATTCAGTTTTCCTCATGTGGTTATAGTTTTCTTGTCCTCTATTCTTCTGATTCTGCTTCTTTTAATTCTGTATTATTTCATATTTATTTCTCAGATGTGTTAGTCTTAATTGCATTACACTATTCCAGTATTCCATTCCACCACAGCTTTTAAAATGATTACTTCTTTGCTTCTTCCACATAACTTTGCTTCCAGCCTTTTGCAGTTACATAAAATGCTGTCATGAAAGTCTTTGAGTAAGTAGGGTTTTTTTGGGTTTGTTTTTGATGATATTTTCTGGGGGTACTCCTAGTAACGAAGTTATTGGATGAAATTATGTGGTTACTTTTATTATATACTACCATATTGCTCTCCAAAAAATTTCATTGTTTTGAAATTCCACCAGTAATGAATGAGTGTATCCATTCTTCCACAACCTTTCCGGCATTGAAAATTCATTGATTTTAATTATTTTTTACCAATTTGAACAAGTGTAAGGTGGTACTTCAGAGTTGTCTTAGTTTTCATCCCTTTTATTAATGAGGTTGAACATGTTTTCAACTGATTATCATTCATTCATTTTTTTCTTTTGGAAATTGTTCGTATCCTTTGACTTACCCATTACCAGTTGTGGACCTGAAGTTGCACTGTGACTTTTTAATAGTTCCATTTTTTATGTTTAATATTTTACATTTTTAATTTTAATAGATCCATTTATATTTTTGTTTTACAGAAAATTTTTAATGCAGTAAAATTCATCTGTTTTGTCTTTAATGATTTTTCCATTTATAAAATAAAAAATTAATTAATCTCACCCCCCCCATTTAGATAAATAGACCATTCCATTTCTTCTAGAATTTTTTTTTTAAGTTGTCTCTCCCCATGGAATCCACTGAGGTATATAGTGTAAGGCAGTGGTATCAAAGTCAAACAGAAATGGATCCCTGAAGGCTGCATGTTAATGTGGAAATTAGCATTACTTATGTTGCATTTTTACTTATTTGTTAAATATTTCCCAATTACATTTTAAATCCAGTTCAGGTCATACTTTGGATATGGCTGCTTTTACCCCAGGCTGAGTTTGACACCTCTGGTGTGATGTATGGGTCCATTTTTTTTCCTACCAAACTGATAACTTTCCCAAAAATTTTTGTTAAATAGCAGAGCCTAAAGGCTTTCCCAGTCTTCTTTGTTGTCTAACTATTTGTCATATAGGAACGTTTCGTATACATTTAATGATGTAATCATTCTATTTCTTTGCTCTTTCTCTCCTTCTCTCTCTCTCTCCCTCCCCCTTTCCCTTTCCTTGATACTAGAAAGTTTTGATGATACTGGCCTTGTAAATTTTTAAGTTAGTGTACAAACTCCCTGCCCCTCATCAGCTTTCCACTTCAGTTTGACCTCTCAGTATTCTTGATATTTCCACTTGATTTCCATACAAATTCCATTCTGATTTTGTCTGGTTTTATAAAGAAGCCCCTTAATTATATTGGCGTTGTATTGAAAATAAAATTAATTTAGGAACTGTGATAATTTGTATTACATTAGCCTGATCCATCCTAAAACAGTGTTGTCTCTGTGGTTACTTAGGGCCTCCTTATTTTGGTCATTATAGTTTTTTTAGAGTTCTTTGGAGGAAGACTGTAATTCTGGCTAGGTTTTATTAGAAACAGCTGAACTTACTATTTACCAAATATTTGATGCTTTTTATTTCTGTAAATGAGTTTTTAAAATCATTTTTCCTGATCTTTATACTTTTCAATGTCAATACCTCTAATGTCTTTTCCCTTTCTTATCGCAATTGCTAGAATTTTTAATATGATGTCAAATAAAAATGGTGGGAGTGTGGGCATTCTTGCTTGGTTTTTGCTTTTGGTGAGCATATTTCTCAATTCGTATGTTGGCTTTTGGCCCAAGATATATGCTCGTTATTGCATTAAGAAAAATTCCTTTATTCTTACTCTTTTTAGGAGGCATATCTGATGTTACCCCAGTAAAGGTAACAATAAAACATAAAATTATAATGTTCAGTATAGTGCAAAAATATGAAATAAAATATTAATCAACATAATATAACAATACATTAAGAAAATTATTCCACACAATCAAGTGAGTTTCTCAGTGTCAGAAGGACTATCATCAATACCGAATATCTAAATAAGAAGTTTGGCAGTGGGAGCCCCGCTCCCCCGACATGCGTTCTGTCAATAGACGCAGAAAAGGCCCTCAGTAAGGACCCCTTCTCTCCAGAGGCTGATCCCTTTCACCTTTGCCCTTTAGCTTGTCTCCTCCTACCTCCTCGGGAACTTTGCTTTCTCTGCTTTTACCACTCTTTCCTGCAGCAGCTTCTGTGGCTTTTCTCTGGCCTTCAGGCACATACAGATTGTCCCTTTCTGTCGACCCCCGTAACCAATCCTCCCATTTATTTTACGCTGTCAGGATTACAGAATGAATTGCCTCTGCCTGCTGCCTTTACTTTCTTACCGCCTACTCTCTCCTTTATCCCCTGTAATCTGGGTACTTTCCCCCACCAACTGTAGTAAAACTACTATCTCCAACGTCATAAATGACCTCCCGATTGTTTTTTTGTAAGTCCTCAATTTAATTAGCTTCTTTATGGCTTTGGACAGATTGACTCCATTCATTTAGCAAGTATTTACCATATACTTTTTGTAGGCAAAAAGCTTTATGTTATCCACTCAGAGGATGCAAAGAACAAGATACAGGCTCTGTTCTCGTGAGTTTTACTATTTAGTAGGGAAGCTAAGACATATCCATAGAAATATTACTCTCTTAACATGTGTGTAAAGTAGATGTGTAGTGAGAAGTATCAAGTTCTGTGTCTGGAGGGAAGAGTGACTGCTCTGAACTCGGGGGAGAATCAGCATTAGCTTTTTTAATGGAAGAGATGACATTTGCATTTGAACTTGAAGGATCTGTAAGAATTAGACAGGTAGAGTTGGAGCAAAAGGAAAAAGATTTCAGTTGGAGGATGTAAGCGAATGTAAGAAGGTAGAAACGGTGAGTACCAGAGTGAGATGGAGACGTAGATTCTGAAAGGGAGTAGGAGGCGGGCTTGAAGATCTTAATGCAGCATGTCTGTAACAAAATTTATGAGGTCCAGTGTTTGTAGTGGGGTGTGTTTGCATGGAGGGAAGGACTTAACTTCTTGTGAAAGAAAGTGTTAGGTGAAGGGCTTCTGTTCTAGCATTTGGTTTTTTAAACCATTGTGATCATTTGTGCCTCAGTCATACTCTTTTAAAATTTGACCATTGTTATACTAAGTATGGTTCCTCAGTAAAATTTAGTGTTTTGATGGAGAAAAGTTCAACAATTAAAAGACCTTGTAGTAACTAGAAATTATTTGGTGCCCATTGTAACTCCTCAGCCTACATTTTCATGCTGAAAAAAATTGTTGTTGTTGTTGTTGTTTTTTTTTTTCCCAGAGGATCTCCATATAGGGAATCTCCTCTGAGTCATTTTGAAGGCTACAGGGGAAGCAGTCTTTACCAGGGTCCTCGGATGTTGGTAGATGTACCCGAACATGCTGTGATGCTGGATGAAATGACTCTTTGGCACATGGTCCAGGACTGCACTGCTGTAAAAACCCAGTTGCTTAAGCTGAAACGTCTGCTGCATCAGGTCAGTGGGTATTAAATGCTTGCAATGCTAGCAGCAGGAAATCAGATTTACTGGTCACAAGTAATGGGTGTGGCTCATTTCTCTTGTTCCTTCTGAAGTATGTATTTGGATTTCTTGTAAGAATAATGCCTATAGTATCTAAGGTTATTTGAAATAAATGTGAGGGAAAGAGACTTGAGAAATTTTTAGTTATAGAACGTGTGTGATAAAGATAGAGATAAAATATAAAGATAATGCATAATGTTGCCCTTAACGCATACCATTGTTGAATAACGCCATTAATATATTATAGCCAAATCCCAGACTTCCTGGTAATGTTGTTCTGGATGGTGATTTTGTCTCCTACTCATGTCCAGAGAACCCTTCCCCTCCCTGATAGAAAGTAGAAAGTCCATCCAGCAGGAAAAATGGTTTCTTGGCAGGCTCAGGGCAGCAGATTGCATAGAGTATAATAGAGAGGTACCCTTCTCTCTGAATCTCTGCCAACTGGGCTATCCTGTTTCCTCAGTTTCCAGCATGGTAGATGATGTTTGGCATTTATGGGTGGGCGAAAGATGAAGGAATGACTTGGATCAGAACTGGGAGTAAAGGGGAGGGCTTTGCTATTTGAATGAATGAATGAATGAATGAATGATATATTTATTAAGCACTTGCACTGGCCTAAGTGCTGGGGATACAGATATAAAAGGAAGCCTACCCTTCTGTCAAGGGGCTCACATTATAATCGGGGAGACAACACACAGGCAAGGTTTCAGCTGCAAGACAGATGGAAAAGTCCCCTGGTCCTTGGGGTACAGAAGCAAAAGCAGATGGTCAGGCGTCTTCTTGAATGAAATTTCCACTGATAAAATCCTATCAGTTTCTGATGTTGAACCATCTGACGGTGCCAAGGACATGGGTGACAAGAGCTTTCTTTTCTGAGTCTTCAGTAGTTACTGCTAGGAGCTGAGTTAGCACTAACCATAGAGATTAAGAATGTATTTAAGTAGATGTCAGGTCTGAGGACTGGGGAAGGGGACAGTGACAAGTGAAGCAGTTCAGCTCATACTGGGTCATCATCATCATTGCCAGAATTTATAGAAAATTTTATAAATATTACCTCATTTCATCCTCACAGCGGTCCTGAGGAGGTAGGAGCTATTATTATCCCCATTTTACAAATGAGGAAATTGAGGAAAATAGAGATTAAGTGACTTGCCCAGGGTCACACATCTAGTAAATATCTGAGGGCAGATTTGAACTCAAGTCTTCTGACTCCAGGCCTGGTGCTCTGTCTAACAAGCCATAACTGCCAAACTCTAACTCTAGATTTGGAAAGTCACCTGGAGGAGGGAAGGGCCAATAGAGCTCACCCCTCTCACAAGGGAAGAGACTTCTCGTTCTCTAGGGCAGGGTAAGGGAGAAACTGGGGGGAGAAAGATGGGAGAGAAGAGGGGAATCAGGGGTTACCATAATAATGATTAGATAGTCTCTGGGCTTTCAAGCTATTTGAAATTCTTATTTGCCACCTCACAATAGACTTTCTGTTACGATATTCACTAATTCAGTTTACTTCAGCAAACACGTAAGTGCCTCTTGTGTCACATAAGAACGTTGTTCTGGGTGCTTAGGAATGACCAGAGATCAGCTAATATGTGGTCTCTACTTTCATGGTGTTTATGGTTTGGTAGGAAAATTTGATAAATACAATAATAGCTATAATAGAAAGACATGCACGATAATAGTAGAAATTGTAGTTAAAGAGTTTTGAGCAGAGGAGTATCACACCTGTGTGGATTATGGCATCCTGGATTTATAGCCAGAAGAGACCCTAGGGGTCAATTGGATTCAACTCCCTCATTTCACAAGTGAGGAAACTAAGGTTTAGAGAGAGAGCCCTGTCCCCAGGATCACAGAGCTAGTAAATGTCTGAGGCAGATTTTAACCTCAAGTCTTCCAAACGTTGTGTCCCACACTCAATCTAGTGTCCCATCTGTGTGCAATAATTGTAATTTTTCTAGTGCTTTAAAGTTCATAAGGAAAGGCATCAATGTGAATGATGGATTGGAGAGAAGAATGTATGGAAGTAGGACTACTGTTTTTACTGTTTTAATAATGAACAGAGGTGACAATGAGGGCCTGCAAGAGAGCTGTGCCATAACTCGAGGAAGCTTGAGACACAGATTTGGGGAGCAGAAAATGGACAGACTCTTATTACCCCTGTTACACTAGTGACTGGGTTTGAGAAGGAAGGCAAAAAGAAGAATTAGAAATAACGTGGAGGGTCAGACGTGGGAAAGGGTGCATAACAAAGGCAGAAGTTGGGTCATTTCTTGGAGGGAAAGCCCATAAAGCTGAGGTTTGGACATAATGAGTTTGAGATATTGGTGGGACCTCTAGCTTGAAACTGTATATGGATCATTGGACAGTCTGACTGGGGGACATAGAAGATGATGGAATTATTTGGCTAGAGGTGATAGTTGAAGCCAAGGAAGTGAATGAACTTGCCAAGAGGGAGAAAGTAAAGTATTACAGGGAACCAAGGACAGAACCTGGGGGATTGCTGCAGTGAAGGAATAGGGGAAGAACCTGGGAAGTCGGTGCAGGAGACAGTGATTGGAGAGCTGTGGTATCTCTCAAGCCAGTGGAGGAGAGAGGATGCAGCCATCAGTCAGGAAGGGATGGAGGGAGTCAGACACGACCCACTCTGCAGAGGAGGCACACCGAGCTTTGTCCCCGCAGAACCAGCTGCCCCTGAGCTGCTTTGCTTGTGTATTTGTTACTTGGAGCCGTTGTCATTAGTTTTGTTGTCTTGTACCACAGACTTTTTTGATTTTGACAGTGTAGTAATGCTTATTTCAGTGAGTATAGATAATCTACGTTGTGGTTTATCTGCCCCACATTTATGATCTCACTATAGCCCCACCTTTCACACATCATACGTTTGTATCCTCTTCCCTACTGCAGAGAAGCAGAAGAGGCAGCTTAAGAGCCTTGCCCACTGGAGCCCACATCCCACTTCTGCCTGACACATGCTGCCCCTGAGATCCCCCTGTACCAGGACCCTCCCTGGCCCTGCCCCCTCCCCAGCCTACCACAGATGGGCTTATTTGGGTTCTTTCAGAGCGAAGGCCAAGTCTCTTCCTTCTTGTGTGTCCTCCCCCTCCTCCTCTTCATCCCCCTCAGTAGTGAAGAGTAACTCTCATCAGGAGCTAGACTTGGGGAAGGTAACAGTCCCCAAAAAGAAAGAGTGAAAGAGAAGAAGGCTCTGGTGTCCAGAGTGAGGGAGGTCAGTGTCTTGATATACTCTGCTCTGATCACAACACCTCACCTCTGGAGTAGTGTTTTTAGTTCTGGGTCATATTTTAGGAATGGCATTGATAAACTTAGCATTTGAGACTCACTTTCTTCTTGATACTCTGTTCTGTGGTGTGTGAGTGGTGGGCCCAGAGTCAAGAAAATCTGAGTTCAAAAGTGGACTGAGACTAACTGTGTGACCCTGTGCAAGTATCTTCACCTGTCTGCATCAGTTTCTTCAGCTGTAAAATGGGGGTGATAATAGTACCTGCCTAATAGGGTCATTGTGAGGATCAAATGAGAAAATACTTGTAAAGCTTGATAAGTATCACGTGATACTTGATAAGTATCACGGTGCCTGGCACATAGGTGCTATGTAAATGCTCATTTCCTTCCCCTCATGACTAATCATTATTCTTAACCCTACTGTAATTGATCCTTTCTATTTTGGTGGGTCTGTGGTTTCCTTGTTTTGGGTACTTCTGACTTAGTTTGCAGTTCCCCCTTTACCTTTTCCTCCAACATGAATTTTTGTCCAGGTTTCCCCCTAAAAATCCTCTAAAGGAGATCTAACCAGTGGTCTGGAAGCCCTCATTCTCCTTTTAGAATATTAGTTGTACTGCTGCATCCCTTAGACTTTGTTTCTGGCTGTTTTCATTTTTTTAAGGGTTTTTTTTTTTCTGGAAGATGGGGAGGTTATGAGGGATGGAGGTTCAATGAGTGAAGCATATTTGTACATATATTCCCATTCCATAATTTGACTAATCATGTGGAAATAATAAGGATGAAGGCTGGGTAGTGATAAAAGAGAAAGATGAGAGATCAAAGAGAAATAAAACGGGGCAAGGCAGAAGGTGAAGGGGGGGAGCAGAGGGGATGAAGGAGTGGCAGATTCTGTTCTCTTGAAGTAGGTAAACAAACTGCTCTTGTCACTACACCTTTGAACTGTCTTAAAACTTTTATTACTAACCTTTGATAATAATTGAAGGAATTTTTAACTTTCAACTGATTTTTATTGTTAAATTTCCCAGGATTCCACTCTGAAAGGAATAGTTAGGTCAGCCTCCTAACAGCGGAAAAATTCTTTTTAAGGCTTTGCTGGTAGTGATGACTGGAGAGAATTTACCTGGGAGACACATCTAACCCTCAGGTTAGAGGTTCTCTGCTCCCTTAGTTTATCAGACCATTAAGTTATCATGTTTATTAAAGTTCATACAGTATACAAAACAGTATAAAAAGGGATGAACAAAGATAAGTTACTGCCCATGAAGATAAGGCCATTATTTATAATGGAGTTTAGATTTGTACAGTTATAGTCGAAACCATTGAGAAAACCCTGTTAGCTTTGTTCTGAGTGAAATTATGCCTTCTTGGGGTTTAGGTAAATTCACTGGGTTAAATAAAATTGCACTCGACCTCTAATACTGTAGGGGATATGTGATCTTATCAGTGTTGGTGTTTCCTCCAATACTGTGTTACTTGCAGCCCAGGGAGGCTCCTCCCAGAGAAAGGGCTCCTGCTAGGGCTCAGAGGGATCCCAGTTTCGTCCTGAAGATGTGGTGGGGCTGACCCTAAGAGAGGACATCAGTCTTTTTTCACCTTTCTGTCTTGTTATGATTTCATTTAAGAGTAAAATTGAGTAACCCTCTGTGCCAATTTTAGGTATGGCTCATGTCTAGAATATCTTCAAAGGGGATTGCTTCTTGAAAAGGTACTCAATGTAA